AATCAGATGGAAAGAAGTTTAGGACCTTGGGAGAAAAGAATGCAAGGGAGGTGGGAGAAGTCCACAGGGCCTTATCAAGGGTCTCGATTTCATCCTGAGGCAATGGGGAGCTAGAGAGGGCTGTAGGGAAATGGGAGGGGTGAGGTATAGACTGACCTGATTCACGTGTGAGAAAGATGGACTAGAAAGCAAAACTGGAGGCAGCGGCCAGGGAGAGGACTACCAGAGACAGTACTGGGAACGTGGGGGCTTGGGAGGAAGGCCATGGAGAAGTGGGCCCTTTGGAGGGGCATTAAAGAGGTAGATTTCATAGACCTGTTGCCCCTTTGTTTGTTGGGGTAGGAAAGGGGCAAGATGGTAGCCAGGAGCGGAAACATCTGGAATTTCTTTCCACCTTTCCCAAGAGGTTTTGCATTACCTATCTCCTCAAAGTATCACCCCTGCCCTGAGCCAGAAGGTAGCTTTCCTGAGGTCACGTGGGGAGGAAGCTGCAGAGCCCATTCTGGTTGCTCTCTGAGGCTCATCAACAACCTTGGCCTGTGCTCTCTCCTTGGCATTTGTCGCTTTGTAATTTTACTTCATCAACTATCATTTGATCACTGTTTCTCTCTACTGAGGGTCTATACATTTCATGAGTGTAGGAGATTCACAAGGTTCTCAAAAAATGCATTTATAGAACAAATGATGGAAAGAACCCATAATCATATCAGTGCTTTGTCTGAAAGAAGTTGCTTCCAATTGGGACTTGACTAGACACTGAACTAGCTGTGATTTATCCCCATAAAATACATATTCTTTTACCTAGCTAGTCCCTATCTAATAAAATTTTCATAAAACTACTACCCACCAAGTGTTTAAATATATATGTTCATTTCAGCAATATATGGTAAAGGAAAAAACAACAAAACAGCATAAATATCCAACAAGAAGAAGTTTGCTTAGGCCCTAGCTCAGTTGGTTAGAGCGTCGTTCTGATAGCCCCAAGGCTGTGGACTTGATCTTCAGTCAGGGCACACACAAGAATCAACCCATGAATACATAAATAAGTGGAACAACAAATCTGATGTTTCTCTCTCTAAAAATCAATTTTAAAAAAGTATATATCTGGCAATTTAATACAGATATGGTAAAATGGTAGAGTATAAGAATTATTTTGTGAATAAACAGAATAGTATCTATGCTCCTAGTTTTATTATTGGAAAGAGATATTAAAAATTGTTAATGCTGTTTATATCCAAGTAGTGGAATAAAAATGGCTTTTTTTTACTTCTTTGACTTTTTTCTCTGAATTTTCTACCACGAGCTAGAATTAATTCCTAATAAGAAGTGAAAACAATAACAGCTAAGAAAACAGCATTAAAATGAAAAGAGAACCAACCGTATGGGGAAACATATTTGCCAATAATACCTCAGACAAAGGTGTGATCTCCAAAATGTATAAAGAACTCACATGACGGCCAAGATGGAGGTGTACCTCCTCGCACAACCTGGTTTAAAGACAACAAAGTTTTAGTAACAAAAACACAACCAAAACAGACAGAAAATTGAACTGTACGGAAGCCCGACAACAAGGAACCATTCAGCCAGACAGGTAAGAGGGGCAGAGTCAGCGGCTGGCAGAGTGGGGTTGCTCAGGGGGAAAAAGTGGCCAGACCGACCCAGTGTGAAGGTGGCGCTTAGCGGATCCCAGGTTTGAGATGGCAACGGGCAGACCCAGTGAGGGTGCAAGACGGCTGATTGACCGCAGTCACATATTCACACTCAGAATACCCAGGCAAAGGAGCAAGCAGTGAGACAGACTGCGCAAACCAGGGCCCCAGCGACAGGAAATAAAGCCTAAAAGCACCAATTGGAAAAACTTTTGGGGGTCGAGGTGCTGGGAGAGGCTCCCAGGCTCACAGAGAGTTTGTTGGAGAGACCCACAGGGTCCTAGAGGGTACACAAGCCCACACACCCAGGAACCAGCACAAGAAGGGCCCAATTTGCTTGCAGGAAGCAGCAAAGGGGACCGAAATCTGAGAGAAAGAACAAATGCTATTGCCCCTCTACGACCCCACCCCCACATACAGCATCACAAAGCAGCGACTGGATCACCCCGCCCTGGTGAACACCTAAGGCTCCACCCCTCATATGTAACAGTGGAACAGACCAAAACATTATGGCTCAAGATGAAGAACAGCTCAAAGCCCCAGAGCCAATACTGCTAAATGACCAAGAAACAGCCAACCTATCAGATGCACAGTTCAAAACACTGGTGACCAGGATGCTCACAGAACTGGCTGCTTTTAGTCACAAATTAGAGGAACACATGAAGACTAAACTGAGTAAAATGAAGGGAAATGCACAGGAAACCAATAGTGATGGGAAGGAAACCAGAACTCAAATCAATGGAGTGGACCAGAAGGAAGAAAAAAATGACCAAACAGAAAAGAATGAAGAAACAAGAATTCAAAAAAGTGAGGAGAGGGTTAGGAACCTTTAAACGCTCCAACATCCGAATTATAGGGGTACCAGAAGGGGGAAAGGCACAGCCACTAGTGGAAAACTTATTCGAACAAATAATAAAGGAGAACTTCCCTAATCTGGCAAAGGAAATAGACTTCAAGGAAATCCAGGAAGCTCAGAGAGTCCCAAAGAAATTGGACCCAAGAAGGAACACACCAAGGCACATCATCATTACATTAGCCAAGATTAAAATGAAGGAGAGAATCCTAGAAGCAGCAAGAGCTAAGGGGACAGTCACCTACAAAGGAGTTCCCATCAGACTGTCAGCTGATTTCTCAGAAGAGACCTTCCAGGCAAGAAGGAGCTGGAAAGAAGTATTCCAAGTCATGAAATGCAAGGACCTACATCCAAGATTGCTCTACCCAGCAAAGCTTTCATTTAGAATGGAAAGGCAGATAAAGTGCTTCTCAGATAAGATCCAATTCAAGTTCATCATCACCAAGCCCTTATTATATGAAATGTTAAAGGGACTTATCTAAGAAAAAGAATATAAAAAATATGAACAGGGAAAGGACAGCAAACTCACAGTTATTAACAACCATACCTAAAACAAAAGCAAACTAAGAGGGCAGCTAGATCAGGAGTGGAACCATAGAAATGGAGGTCACATAGAGGTTAGCAAGAGGGGAGTGGGAGAAGGAGAAGGGAGGAGAAGGTACAGAGAATAAGTAGCGTAGATGGTAGGTAGACAATAGACAAGGGGAAGGGCAAGAATAGTATGGGAAATATAGAATCTAAAGAACTTGTGACACATGGACATAAACTGAAGAGGGAGAATGGTGGGGGAGGGGGTGTGCAGGGTGGAGGGGAATGAAGGGGAGAAATGGGACAACTGTAACGGCATAATCAATAAAATATATTTTAAAAATTAATAAAATAAAACTTACAAATTAAAAAAAAGAACTCACATGACTCTACTCTAAGAAGACAAGCAACCTGATTAAAAAATGGGCAAAGGACTTAAACAGACACTTCTCCAAGCAGGACATACAGAGGGTCCAGAGACATATGAAAGGATGCTCAGTATCGCTAGCCATCAGAGAGATGCAAATTAAAACCACAATGAAATACCACTTCACACCGATCAGAATGACCATCATAAACAAAGCAACAAACAACAAATGTTGGAGAGTGTGTGGAGAATACGGAACCCTACTACCCTGTTGGTGAGATTGCAGATTTGTGCAAGCACTGAGGAAAACATTATGGAACTTCCTCAGAAAACTAAAAATGGAAATGCCTTTTGACCCGCCCAGCAATTCCATTGCTAGGATTATATTCTAAGAACCCTGAAACACCAATCCAAAAGAATTTATGCACCCCAATTAACAGCACAATTAACAATAGCCAAGTGTGGGAAGTAACCCAAGCACCCATCAGTAAATGAATAGATAAAAAAACCACGGTACCTCTACACAATGGAATTCTACACAACAGAAAGAAAGAAGGAGCTCCTATCCTTTGAAACAGCATGGATGGAACTGGAGAGCATTATGCTAAGTGAAATAAGCCAAGCAATGAAAGACAAATACCATATAATCTCACCATTTAACAGGAACCTAATCAACAAAATGAACAAGCAAACAAAGCATAGCCAAAGACACTGAAATTGAGAACAGGCTGACAGTGATAAGGGAGAGGGGAGGGGATGAAGGGGGGAAGGGTGAAGGGCTTACAGGAACCATTAAAAAAGAACATGTGGACAACAAGGGGGGTGGAAAGGCCAGGAGGGCTGGGGTGGTGGGGAAGGGTGGGGGGAAAAGGCAGAAAACTGTACTTGAAAAACAATTAAAAAAATTGTAAAATAAATAAACAAATAAATATAACAAAAGAAATGAAAATAACAGACTTTTTATTCCCTGGGGGAAGCTATCAATGTCAAAGGCTGTCTTAAGATCCAATCTGATGATTATCAACTAGTTCCATTATACTTAGCAAAAAGAAACCACTCGGTGGCCACAGTGAGAGAACAGTTGTGGTAGAGACAGAGCCAAGTGACCACAGAATAGGAATAATAATGGCTTTACAAAACCATTTCCTAAGAAGGTTGCCTGGGCCAAGCTGTGTACTTGAGAATCAAATACCATTGTGCCTGTCCCTAGAGAAAAATGCTCAAAAGTTCGCTCAGGCCCTTCCACCAGGCAATTACTGACACAAGTGAGCATGCGCGAAATCACGGGGAGGCTAGTGCAATCCAGCTTGTTTTAGGAAATGCAGTAGAAAAGCAAGGCCTTAGCATTTCTGAATTTAGAAACTGGTACAATGAATCACGCAAAAAAGAAAAAGAAAATCAAAGGTAGCTCAACTGCATTTCTTGAAACAATTGCCTTTGAAGCCGAGCCACAGCTTTGGGGAACTCGGGAACCACGGGTTGCAGATTCCCTCCGGGCAAAAAGAAAGGCAAAGCCAGCAGCATTGGCCACGGAGCTCGAGCCACCGCGTGCTACCAATCAGAGAGCAGAATGGCGGGGGATGGGGGCGGTGGCACCTGCGCATGCGTTCCCCCTGCACTGGGGCTCGCGCCACCTTTGGCCAGTTTGTGGACCGCTCTGAGTCTGTACTGTTGATCTGCGCCTGGTCTGCAGTATTTCCCCAATAGTGCTCCCTTCTGCTCGCCCCGCGATGCCGGTGGACATCAGCCAGTGGTCCGGGTCCTTGTGCCTGCAGGAAGTGGAAGAACGGCCGCAGCACCCGCTGCAGGTCAAATACACCGGGGTGGAGGTTGACGAGCTGGGCAAAGTGCTGACGCCCACCCAGGTACACTAGGGCTGGGTGGGGGTGGGGGGCTGCAGGCCGTCGGGCCAGGGACTGGGCGGAGGTTGTACGGACTTTCCAGCCTGCCTGCCTGCGCCCGATCCACTGAGGGAGTGGGGTCCTGGGCCGCATGCTGCCGGCCCAGGGTAACCCTGGGAATTACGCGCCTAGGGGCAGGGCACGGCCTGCGGGAGTAATTAATCCACTTTCACAGGACTTCTAGGCCCGGGCAGGGTTCTAGGCCCGGCATCAGCCAGGATCGCAGAAGTGAGGGCAGGGACTAGGAAGGGGACCTTGCCCAGGAGCCAGTTGGCCTTGGTAGTCCACGCCTCCCCAGAGCCTCCTCTCTAGTCTCCGGATTTTAGGGAGCAAACGCCCCACCCGAGGACATATGACGCATTATGTAACAGTGGTTATCAGTGCCCAGTAAGGACTTCTTTGTTTTAGCGGTCAGGGACCTGATGCTGATTTGTGCAGCTGGTCGGCTCCAGGGCCACAGGCCTTGACCGCTGACGCTGGTGGTGGAGGTGGGACCAGGTCCTGGAGGCTGAAATTGGAGAAACCAGAGTGCCTGACACCGTTGTGAGTTGTTGGTCCGTAGCTCTGGGACAGTGGTGTCAGTACAACTGCGGCCTGTGACGCTTTTATTGTTTTGGTTGTTTTTTTTTGTTTTGGTCGTTTTATTATGAAGTGCCCATCTCTCAGCCTCCTTTTTCCCATTTCCACTGTCCACGTCTGGCCTTCTTGTTTTCTGTGCACTTGGAAGTATCCAGTTAATTATGATTTCATTTTAGCAGGCCCCAGGTGACCTCCTGGTCACCACATCTGGAGACCCTGTCATTCCAGATCTTGTAAAGTTATTGTTAAGAGGACTCAGTCGGCACCAGGGTTGAAATCCTGACCCCAACTCTTTCTGTGAATAACACGCTGGGAGACCAAGTTTGTAGTATTATTGTTGGGACTAAAATAAATAATGTAAAGAGTGTACTAAACTTCAGCTCCTGGCTCTTAGTTGCATAGATACACTTCAGCTTTTATTAATAATCTACTCTGTTGGGAACCTGAGTGTTGGTTTCTTTAGCATTTTTGGCTTTGTAACTCAGCTGGTTCCTTCTTGCAGGTTAAGAACCGGCCCACCAGTATTACATGGGATGGCCTCGATGCAAGTAAACTCTATACCTTGGTCTTGACAGACCCGGATGCTCCGAGCCGAAAGGACCCCAAATATAGGCAAGTTGGGGAACTGCAGGTCATCCAGATAGGAGCTGGTGCTTCTTTGCACTTGTTAGTCTTCCCCTGGACATGCTGTTGGTGGTACACTTGGTTTGGGATGTTCACATACATGCTTTAGCTTGAGTGCACATTTCTGGTCTCTTTACTCTCTAGAGCAGGAGACTAGAAATGTTAGCTGAGAGCCAGATCTGCCTGAGGCCTGTTTCTAAGTACAGCCCCATGAACTAAGAATAGTTTTTACATTTTTTAAGAATTGGGGGGGGAGGGAATGGAAAGAAGCATACTTTGTGACATCCGAAAATTGAATGAAATTCCAATTTCATTGCCCACAAAACAAGGTTTGCTGGGGCACAGCCATGGTAGCTTTGCGTTCGCGCTCCAGCCAGGACGTGGAGGTGTGGTGACTGAGTGTGGACTGCCAAGCCAAACGCATTGACTGTCCGGCCCTTCACAGGAAGTTTGCTGGCCCCTGCTCTAGTCTGTCTCAGAGGGAGGGAGGTGCTGGGTCCTCTCTTCTGCAGGCACCTGAGGTTTGCGCGACCAAGAAAGCGAACTGTCTGTTTCTTCGCTGTATCCTGGCCCAGAACGCGGGCGTCATGCCCCTTTGCTGGCGGCGCAGTGAGTGTGCACTGACTTCCTGTGGTGTTGATGGGCCTGTATTCTCTCACAGGGAATGGCACCATTTCCTGGTGGTCAACATGAAGGGCAACGACATCGGCAGTGGTACAGTTCTCTCCGATTATGTGGGCTCTGGGCCTCCTAAGGGCACAGGTCAGTAAAGGCTGCTTTGAGGGGGCGGTGGGAGGGGAGCCTGGGTACACATTAGGATTGGCCTAATATGCTGCAAATTTTAGTCTGATTCTTAGAGCTTTATTCTTGTATTTAAGAGAACCCTTACCCTGGTGGAGGTTTCAGGCAGTGCAGTTCACCCCCAAGGCAGTCGTTAGGTGGCTAGAACCTTGGGTTCTGGTTAGATGGACTAGGTTATTGTTGCTGCTGAGCTCTTAAGCCTTTAGTAAGCAGAGAGGTCTGTGAGGAGATGTATGCTTGAGATAGCTTCCTAGAGAGGGGCTGCATGTGGCGTGAACGCAGTTAAATCACCTAAGTTCCGTGTTCTGCCTTGGCTCTGTGGGATCTTTGAGCTTTTAATTCCCATTAAAGCTGTCAAAAATGATCATGGTTTCCAAATTAGTTATTAAAAATTATTTATCTCTTTATAGCTTCCTTTTCTCTCAAAAATCTAGCACGGTGTCTTTCATACATGTGGAAGATTAAGAACTCTGTTGGAGACACACACATACGTTGTATTGTACTATGTTATACATGTAGACCAAGTTAGATAAATGTCACCCAGGCTCATGTGAGACAAGGAGGGAGCGGTTGGTGGAGTGTGGCAGTATTCTAGCTTTTGTACGTGTCGTCCAGCCACGAGTTGGTCTGCAGAGGTACAAGAAGGCCCCTGAGGAGGACAGTTGGCCATAGACTCCTGTCTTATCTGTAGATCCCAGAAGCTCGGGGTGGCTTCAGCCTTCTCATGCGCTCATAAAGGAACATAAAGGTACATATTTCTCAAGGCTCTATTAAGTTCTCTAGGGCAGTTATGAAATGAGGCAGTTTAATTATGAGAGTACACCTTGGAGAATAAAGCAATTCCCTCAAGTAGAAGCTGTGTTCTCATTAACAAAAAAAGCCTTAGGAACTTACTTTCTTTTTCCTTTTCCTTCTCTTCATATTCTTTTAGTAAGGTATAACTTACGTGTAATAAAACACAGATTGTAAATGTGTAGACAGTGAATATTGGTGGATGTACACATCCTTTTAAGTTAACTTTTCCCAGCATTAACCATTTTCTGACCCCTGTCTCCGTAGATTACTTTCATATTCATATAAATGATACACGGTATGCATTTGTTTTTGGTGATTAATCATTTTCATTTGAGATAATGTCGGGGGTTCATCCACGTGTTATTAGTAGCAGTAATTCATTCCTTTTTATTGCTAATGGTATTCCACTGTGCAAATATACCACAATTTGTGTAGCCATTTTCCTGTGAATGGACATTAGGGCTGTTTCCAGTGTTTGGGTATTAAGACTAAGGCTGCTGTACACATTCTTGTCATTTTGTGGGCACAGGTTTTCATTTTTCTTGGGCAAAACCTAGGAGTAGAATTATTGGGTCATAGAAGTTACCCAAGAATTCTCCTAAATGATGGAAAAATTTTATACTCCCATTAGCAGTGTATGAAAGTTTCAGAAGATCCATCTAAGATTCATGTAGTTCCATATCAAACGTCATCCATGTTGTAGCACGTAACAGGATCTTTTTTAAGGCTGAATAACAGTCTGTTGTGTGTGCATACCACGTTTTGTTTATCCATGCATTTATCAGTGGATATTTGTGTTACTTCCACCTCTTCCCTATTGCAAACGAAGCTGCAGTAAACGCGGGTGTGCAGATACCTAATTTGCTTAAAAACGCAACTCATGGCACCTGTTTGTGTCCAGTACCTAATGCTTTGGGGTTCCTAGGGCACCTGCTGGCTCATTTTCAAATGGTCTTCGCTACTTAGCTAGTTGAAGTGAGTTGGGCCATTTCTTTCCAGCCAGGTCTCTTGTCTTCCAGGGAAGTAAGTTCTGGTGGTAGAAAGATAATGCCCCCCTTTAGCCCGTGCAGGTGTAATTGTGGTGGGATGGGCACCTGGTCAGTGATTGGCTGGTGCCCTTCATCTGCTTCTCATAGTTTTTAGCACCTCCTGTGTGCCAGGCACTGAGGCAGGTAGGTTCTGGGGTGATAATGGTCAATGAGACAAACACTGGAGTTTTGTGGGGCTCTCTCTGCAATGAGGTGGTAAAATTAAAAAGCAGGAGTTTTAGGTAGCCATGTCACTGTGCTGGAAGTAGAAGGGGCGCTTTTGTGGCAGAGGTGGGAAACGACTGGTGATGAGCTCCTGTCGGAGCTGGGCAGGAGTCGGGGTGCAGTGAGCGGGGAGCGGAGAGCTGTAGGAGGAGTGGGTGGGCAAGGGCCAAATCCCACAGGTCCTTAGAGGCTGTAACGCAGGGTGTGGCCTTTGTACTAATGCAGTGGAGTCTGGATGATCTTTAGCAGGTGAGTGACCTGAGTCTTTCCAGGTTCTCAGTGTCCTTACGAATGGGGTAGTCCGAGTCCCTCCAAGTTGGCACATTACTGTGAAAACGGGTGATGTCTGTGCAGATGCCTAGCCATGTGTACATCTCCCCTCCTGCCTTTCCCTCCAGGCCTCCACCGCTACGTCTGGCTGGTTTACGAGCAGGACAGGCCTCTGAAGTGTGACGAACCCATTCTCAGCAACCGATCTGGAGACCACCGTGGCAAATTCAAGGTGGCATCTTTCCGCAAAAAGTACCAGCTCGGGTCCCCAGTGGCTGGCACGTGCTACCAGGCAGAATGGGACGACTATGTGCCCAAGCTCTATGAGCAGCTGTCTGGGAAGTAGGGGGAAGCCAGGAGACAGGTATCACCCCGGGGGCCCCAGCAGTGTTCTCAAGGTCAGTGATGCATGTAGATTTCTCCTCTTCCCTGTTGCCATTCTCACAGGCGAGACCTGAGCAGATAGTGGTGTAGGGTGATGTTTCCTTCTGCCTATCCTTTGTAATTGTACAGGGTCACACAACCTGGTTTATGTTTTGATCAAATTTGGACTCCATTTTGGGGCTATTTTGGTACTGAGATGTGGTCATCAGATTGTTCATAGAAGAGCAACCCAGAATTTAAAGAAGAAAAAGTTTCGGTAAGAAGAACAGGTCTACAGTAATAGTGCAGAGCATCAAACAATCTTCAGGGGAGATTTTTTTTAAAAAAGATTCCTTGTCTCCGCCTTTGTGAGCCCGAATCCAAAACTGTGCCTGGTGGCATATTCTGAGATGTTTTCACAGCCCCGTCTCTCTCCAGGCAGCCAGAGGCTGGCATGTCCACTAACCCCCGCCCGGTGTGTGCACACCTTGGGTTGGTTATTAGGTGTCAGTATTCTGCTCCAGCTCATTTAAGGAGCAGCACTGGAAAGAGCAACAGGGAGCAGGGAGTGTCGCTCTCCTGCTGGGGCACAGCTGTCTAGATGAGCGGCAGGGCTGCGTGAGAGGTTATCACAATCCATGAGTCTCCGTCTGTTAAATCGACCACTCTGCGTTGGTGTAACAAAAGCCAGTCTGGAGTTCCTGAATGTTGTGTTAATTCTGTCATTTGCTTATAGTTGAATAAAAATAAAAACACTTGTGGACAAACCGAGCCTCCAGATATTTTGTTCTTTTTGAATATGGAGTTTCATAAATGTGGAAAATTAAGAGATGACCTCAGAGGGTGAATATCCCCTTTCTTGGACCCACCGAAATGACCGGGACTTGATTCAGGGACCATACACAGGGTCCGCACTTGTACAAATGCCATTAAACTGTAGAAGGAATGACCATTCATTTCAGTTGGAGGTTTTAAAAAAATCATAAAACTTTTGCCAAGTCCTCTTGCCCAGAAAGCACCTTTGCTTTTTGTAAGAGGTCCCCCATGGTGTAGTTGGGTGCAGACACCGTAACAGTCTGCTGAGAAAGAGCCCATACCTCTCTGTTCTGACTTACAATCCACATAGAATCAGTACCAAGGGTAGGGGGATGGTGGATGGATCACCCACCTCCACTGATGTACCAAAAGGAAAGGAAGGAGCTGGAAGGTCTGCATCACTGACCTGGTCTGGTGGAGATGGGAATCCTGATCAGGGCTGGCAGGTGCTGGGCAAGGCTGGGCTCTGTCCCACCTTTTGCTGCTATACTCTGAAAAACTTGCAAATGTTGCCTCATGTAACCTCTGGGGGCAGATAAGGTAGAGAGTAATTTTTTTATAAGGTAGAGAGTATTTTTTTAACTGTAGGGTTATAAAATTCATATTTAAAGTACTATTTTATCCCCGGCTGGTGTAGCTCAGTGGATTGAGCACTGGCCTGCGAACCAAAGGGTTGCAGTTTGATCCCTGGTTAGGGCACTGCCTGTGTTTTGGGCCAGGTTAGTGGTTGGGGATATGCAGGGGGCAGCCCATCGATATTTTTCTCCCTCTCTCCACCTGCCTCCAGTTCCCCTCTCTCCAAAAATAAATTGCTTTTAAAATTCAGGAAAATATTTTACGAAACAAAAGCTGCAAAGAAAACAGCTACCCTGTTGACCTTAAAAATAAACGTGAAAAGTAATTCACATGGTTAGACGAGGCAAACTGTAGGAAGAGAGTGCTTTTCCCCTTTCTCACCCCCAGGGGCCAATTTTTTTTTTGAGAAGAAAATGTAAATACTGATACCAGTATACATTTACATATTTACCCTTAAAAGTTATAGTTTTGCTCTGTCTTTCCCCACCTATTGTACCTCCATGCCTTATATCTTCAGTTAACAGGTCAGCACAGCTCACGTCATTTTGAACAAATGCTCTGTTTTATGGGAGTTTTCATAATTAACGAATCCAATTCCCTACTGTGATTATATTATTTCTTGTTATTTGCTGTTACAAACGTTGCTTCAGCAGACTTTTTGTGTGTGTGTAAAAATTTTTTTTGCAAGTAATTTAGTGGAATAAATTCCTAGCATTGAAATAATCAGTTCAAAGAACATCCACATTTTCAGTGCTGATGCGGACAAAGCATCCCCCAGAAAGATCATTCTGATTATATTCCTGGCAATGGTATATCAGAATAACTCACTCTATACCCTTAGCAGTTTTCTCAAGCTTTACACATTTGACAATTTTGTATTTATGTATTTAAAATCATTCACTCTCTCTGTCAACTGTTTTCTTTGAGACTTGTATCTTGCTAACCACAGTACTTTTTTAGTTATGGTCTGAAGATTTATGAGGAATTATAGCAGTCTGTTTCCTTGTCTAAAATGGGTATAGATTCATAAAGGACTCTGGAAAAGGTCAAGAACCCGACCGAAAAAGATGAAGTGTGCACAAGAAGTTCACGTAAAAAGAACAATACACATGAAAAGACATATTTGTAACCTTAGAAACAGTGGGATACCATGTTTCACCTATTAAGTTGGAAGTGAAAATGACCTTGCCCAAGGGCACATCACTAGGAAGCAGGTGCTGCAGATTCAGAATAAATAAGTTTTATTTACTTATTTTTAGGGAGAGGGGAAGGGAAGGAGAAAGAGGGAGAGAAGCACCACTGTGAGGGAGAAACATTGATGTTGCCTCAAAAAAAAACAAAAACAAAAAAAACACCCAGGGACTGAACCCAAAACCGAGGCACGTGCCCTGACCAGGATCAAACTGGCAACCTTTCGCTTTGGGAGATGACACCCAACCAACTGAGCCACACCGGTGGGAGCTGAGCTGTGTGTATAGTTTTTTATGTAGTTTATCTCTTCTATTAGGCTGGACCCTTCATGAATGCAAGGACAACTAGTCTCTGCCTTTTAATCGACTGTTTATAGAGACTGTTACTATTTAATACAATTAAGTAATGGTGAGATTTAGGTCTACCATTTTATTATGTTTTCTGTTTGCCCCTCTCTTTCTGGATACCTCTGTTCTTCCTTTCCTGCCTTCTTTTGGATTAGCTGAATATTTTTAATTCATCAGATTTTTGGTTATTACCTCTTTCGGTTTTCTTTTGTGGTAGTTGGAGTTACAACACACATAACTAATTGTTCAATCTCCTTACAATACAAATTGTACCATTTCATGTGAAATGCAGAAGCTTGACACCCTATGGGTTCTTTAACCCCCAATCTTTCTGCTATAGCTGGCATAGGGGTTGCATTTACATGCGTTGAAACCCTCACCAGACAGGGTGACAATTTTTGCTTTCAATGATATATAGGTGTTTCAAAACAGTTCAAAGAATATGAAGGGGAAATTCTTTTCTACTTATCTAGGGATTTACCATTTGCTGCTCTTCATTCCCAGAAATCCAAGTTTTCTGCTAGCTCCCTTCGGTATGAGGAATTCCTGTAGCATTTCCCGTAAAGTCTGCTGACAGTGAACTCTCAATTTTTCTTCACCTCAGAATGGTTTTATTTCACCCTCATTCCTCTGTCTGGGTTGCTTTTCCTCAACGCAGCTGCTTTTTTTATTCTTCAGTGTCCTCAGTTTGTCTAGCTTTTAAATTGTATTCAGCACAAAAGATTTACACTGCTCTGCCAAATTGGAACCATAAAAATGTACTTTTTTATATATTATCATTTCTATGGCAAAATATATTATGAAATTAGAATTGGAGGGTCATGTGGAGTTCTTACAGGGGCATGTTTTCAGTTGCCTAGGAATACCCTTTTCCAACTGATGTATACACAAATAATTACAGATGATGGTAAATGCAAGAAATAAACTTGGATTTGGTCAGACAGCACTGAGCGTTCTCTGACACCCTCTGTGACTGGTTGTCGCAGCTCCTCCAAACTCCTGTAGCCCCCAGTCCTCACCTGATCACGGCTCATCTCGGTCCATTGTTGGTTAACCTCGTCTGCTGCTGCTCTGCTTCTGTTTCAGGAGATTTAAATCAGTGACCCCATCCACCTTATTTACTACTACGCCCCCAGGTACACAGTAGGTGCTTAATACGTACTTCTCGAATAAATATATGCCAATCTGGCAATTCTAATCCCCTTTCTCTATTTTTTCCTTTATCTAGAGCACTTATTACCATGCAAGATCATTTATTTATTATGATTACTACGTTTTATCAGATTCCTCCCACCCCTAAGCTCCGTTAGAGCAAGGATCTTTATCTGAGATACATTGATGTATCTCAGGCATCTGGCCTGGCATCTGACTTATAAGGTACTCAGTAAATACTCACTGAACAAATCATTGCAAATCAAAGGTCAGCGGCCCTTACTAATATGTATGATAAACTTGTAATGATTCTTTCCTTTCCACGTCGGGGAGTTTGGTGTATGCTGGGATTCTCGGACACTGGCTGCCTGCTGCTGCCCCAGCACCTCCTTCGTACCTGGTCTCTCGCTGCCATTCTGGTCTGGTCTGTTCTCACTGCCTCCTCGTGCAGGTACTAGAAGCTGGAAGACAGTCTGTCCCAGGTGTTCAGAGCAGGGACCCTCGCTCCTTCCTTCTGGTCTTCCTTCTGGTAACTGCCTTGGGACACACCACTGACACACTTGTAGAGAGGGAAATTTTATAAAGATCAGCATCTGTCATCTCAGACACAAGGCCTTTTCACAAGCAAGCTGGACACTTTTCACTACAGAGAAATGGATGAGAGACTTCATGAAGTTCTTCTGTCCTACTGAAGATAGGATGTCCTGAATAGCAGTAACTATGCCTAGGAGTGTTCTGAAGTCAGTCAGGTTGGGATTCAGTCTCCACCACCACCACTTACCCTGGTCTGCGCTTATTTCCTCACCTGTGAAATACTTAGTGTAGTGTCCCAACACATGGGAGGCATAAGCATGAATCACAGGTTACCTGTTTTTCATGGGTAATTGAGTCTTCTTTCCAGCCCTTTGCGACATTATTTTCTGTTGTACCCAACAGAAACTTCAGTGAACTAAGCTGCTTAGGAAGCCAGGTGATAACTTTATGGTTAGGGTTAACCCACGTTAATAAATCATTTTGTTGTAGTTTTTGAGTCCACCTCTCTGCTTTAGTCTATGACAGTGAACGTGACTGGCCACATGGGTCTGCGATGACTGAATACCCTGGAGGATATAAAAGTGACCTTTGGGTCCTCCCGCTCAAGTTTAACTTTCAATGTCCAGGACTTAGAACGCCAAGAATATGCCATCTTACTGAGATTGTCTTATACCCAAAGCCACATCCTAGAAGTTAAATATTTTACCACCTCAATGATGTGCACGTAAGATTCTAATTAAAGTCGAATGTGAGGGGTGGTTGCATCTGTTACAGTGGGATCACTTCAAATATTTGGCTATAACTTCTTTGCAGCCTGCCTTTCAGGGTGTCCAGCGCCTCTCCTCAGCCATAGGCACTTCTAAGCACAGCTGGCACATTGGGGTGTGTGTGTGCTGTGTGCACGTGTTCCGTTTTATATTCTTAAGGGCAAAAAGGAGCTGTTGACCACTTCAAACAGTGCAACACTATCTTCAATCCCGTGGAAGAACTTGGAAGACAGGTTTACCTGGAGATCGTGAATGGCTCTTCCGGGAGCAACTGGCGCTACGGAGAGGAGTTTCTGGAGGCGGCTCTGCGTCTGAATTAGGAGCCGGTAAACCTAGAAGGGAAGCTTCCTGCTACAATAACACAGCAAGGCGATGTGATGAACACTTT